GTTGCGAATGTCTCTTTACATTGCTTGCAACGTTTAATACCGTGTGTCTTCTTAACATGGTTGTGTATATTGTGTTTCCCTACGTATCCTTGCCCACAAATATCGCATAAAAAATGTTCTATATGATATTTGTACGTGTGCAAAAGAAGTGGTCCAAAAAATTGGAAAAATTGCCCGCATTCGAGACAATACATTCCATTATCTTCGAGTTGAAAACAGCTGAAGGACTGAGCAGCTTCTTTATCCAACTCTAGCTCATGAATCTCAGAGATATGATTTAAATATTGTTGGAAATTTCGAAAATTGTATTCGCACGGAACACAGAATAGATTTGATACATCTAACTTGGTCCTACCACCTCTATAAAGTGTTCTAGTCAGTATTTCTTCGATTTCAATTTCTGTGTGGATGGTATTTGTATGGTCTTTTAGCTTTGAGCTTTCTACGAAAACCGAGTGGCAGTAGAAGCACATGTATTTGCCGCTATGCCACCTAAAGGGTACTATGGTGGAGTTTTGAATGATGATCGACAGTAAACTTGTGAGCTGAACTTTGCGTCTCTCCTCCACAGACTTTTCTGAAACCAAAGAATAATCCTGTTAGATCCTCTTTGGTTAGTTTCGGAAAACTATTTTATTAGTCGTCGTAAAAAAGACTTATGACCATTTTTGTCGAGTTTCGTTTCTTATAATATGTCGATTAGTCATTAAGATAGCGACTTACTAGTACCTACTCACCAAAGTCTAAATTAGTTCTGAGTTTTTAAGGTATCACACCATTGGTATCATAAATAGTTGCCGACCATGTAGAAATTTGTTTGATTGCGCCATTAGAATAATAGCTAAACGGAGTTTAGGGAGTTAGCTTTTAAAAATAAAATTCGGATTTTTCTTACATAGCCTGTAATTTAAATATTGTTTAAAATAATAATACTAAAGTATTTAAATAAAACTTATTACCTACAATACAATATTATATTTAGAAATAAGTGTCTTTCAACAAGATCTGAGTACATAATATGACTAAAAAAATGAATCAGTGACCAAATTACCCAATTTCAAACAGTTGAGTATTTTCAACAGTAAATGCTAAATTCGTATTTACCTAACAAAACAGCAAATTATATAAATACGTTTCTAATTCTATAAATGCCACAACCGAAAATTACCGCGTCACTAATAACACCAAAATTGTAGAGATTAAACTTGTCCCACATAAGGATTCTCATACTGCATTAAAGGTTGTGGATTTTTATGCATCCTCGCGAAATGTGCCCTCATTATCTTCTTCGTTGTAAATGCTTTGTCACAAGCCTCGCATTTAAAATTCTTCTCCCCGCTATGTTTGTACATATGATTCTTTAAACGATTACTGTTAAAAGCCTTCCATCCGCAAACACCACAAACATGGTTCCTGAACTTCAAATGAGAATCTCTCAAATGAGTCATCATCATACTCCGAAATACAAAAGTTTTAGGACAATGTGGGCACTTGATCTGCGGCCGATTCTTGTGTTCAGACGCCATATGTTGAGACCTCCTGTACATACTCTGAAAAACTTCCGAACAATCGGCGCATTTGTATTTTTTTTCCACATCATGACTGTTTTTTTGATGGGTTTTAAGTTTAGATTTTGAGTCGAACTTTTCTCCACACTCCGTGCAGAGGTAGATTGCATTTTCGTGTACAGACTTCACGTGTAAACGAAGTAAGGACGCGTCTTTGAAATTCTGTCCGCATACATCACACAAGATAGCGGATGTCCCTTTGTGGTCCTTATTTGTATGGTGCAAGAGAGGGCCAAACGTATAGAAATTCGCTCCACAAGCAAGGCAACTGACATTAAAATTATCTAGCTTAAACGCTACCATACAAATCCCAGCGTCTTTGTTATAATCCACACTATGAGTTCCAACTAAATGATCAATCAACCCGTTAAGGTCGGTAACATTTTCGGGGCAGAGCGCGCAAGATAGATTGGACACATCTACATAAACGACGGGTTCCCAGTAATTTTTCATCGTCTGTATTTTAATTTCGTCACCCACGTGTTTTTCTTGGTGATTTTTTAACTCTGACGGCTCTTGAAAGATGTCGTAGCAGTAAAAACATCTGTAGGAACTTTTGAGCCAGCGGAATGGCATCACGGTGGATTTCGTGAGGACCTGAATGACATTATTCCTCATTATATTCCTTTTGTCTTTAGCTGTTGGTTGCTTTGTATCGACAGATGAAGTGGTGATCGCCTGATCGTAGTCTTCAGCACCAAGGTCCTTAGCAGTCGTACCCTGGCGACCTCTTTTTAGTTCTCCTGCAAGGAAAACATCAATTTAGAGGTGGCCAGAATACGACATGCAATATTTTATAAGAATTTTTTATACAAAATTAGCTGTAACATTTCAGGGCATTGCGTTCATAGGAGGATGGTTTAAAAGAAAATAAAACAATATTTTTGTACATGTGGTAAATTTTATTTAACGTAATTATGGTAAACAGTAACAAACTTCAAAGTCCACTGTTTTAAGAGTGTGAGTCTATGACAAAATCCCAGGCTATTATTGAACATTTTACAATCGACAAGCCTAATTGTGCAACCATGCAAGGTCAACCCGAGAACCTCTTCTTGAGTGTAAAAGAAATCCTAACTTACAAATCGTATCACACAAAACAATGTAAGCTGTACAATGTGAGTCTATGCATAGGTTTGACGACACGAACTAAACAGACCACAGTCAAGAGCAGAGCAAAAATATGTTTTATTACTTATTCAACATTATATGTACCTATTATTGCTTTCTTAATCAACATATTTTTAGTTTTCTAAGACCTAAGCATCTTCCAAATAATGACATTCACTTTTATGGGCATTTAAGGCGTCCAAATCTATGAAACCTCTTCTACAGAGCCTGCACACACGGCCAGAAGAACCAGAATGCACTTTCATATGACTTCTGAGATTACTCGACCTTCTGAACATCTTCTCACAAATGTTACAAGCATAATCTCTGTCGCCAAAATGCTTTTTCTTATGCAACGTAATCAGCCATTTTATGCCTGTCTTATAGTTGCATAGATCGCACTCAAATTTCGACTCTGAATGTTGGGATTGAACGTGCAAAATCATTGCTCCCTTCGTAGAGCAAACTTTGGGGCAAAACTCGCACTTAATTCTATACTTTTCAACATTGTGCATCTTGCCTAAATGTACTTTCAGGAGGTACTGGCTTTCGAAAGTCGCGCTGCAAAGGTTACATTCCCGAGCTATCGCTTGTCCATGCATCTTTTCTTTGTGTTTTATCAATCTATGAGCTGCGTTAAACATTTTGCCGCAAACAGAACATCGGAAGCCAACATGACTATTGTTTATATGTCTTTTCAGCCGAATCTTAGTTATGAAGCTGAAGCCACAAATTTGGCAAATGAAAGAGTGGTTTATATGGTCCTTGTACATGTGTCCGACCATGCAGGTGAAGTTGTCATACACGTTTTTGCAGAGAACACATTGCATGATATCCTTAGTCAAGATGAAAGGGAATGCGCAAACCCCTAACGTCCGATCATAGTCCTCTTCATGAACTTCTGTTATATGAGTGATGAGTTCCTCTAGATTTTGTATGGGTGTTCCAATACACATTTTGCAGCTTAAATTACTGACATCAAGTTTCACTGGAATGTCTTTTGATATAATACTCTTTGCTATAAAGGAGTGGAGATCTACAACATGTTTAGTCGTATGTTCTTTGAGCGTTTCGCAATCTCTCATAGGTTTTGAGCAGTAGAAACACCGGAATCCTTTGGTGTGCCAGTTGAATGGTACGACATTGCCATAGTGAAGAATCTGGAGTAAATTTCTGCGTTTTCTGCAAAGTCTATCGATATAGTTGTCTTGTGTCCGTTCTGAAAAAGAAGTTAATGCGTTATGGATCCTTTTTGCGTTTTTGTATATCCTAGTGTTTACGTACTATATTGTTTAAGGTAAATACAGGCGTAGAGATCAAGGGAAAGTCTCATGATAGGATGCCCTGTCGGACAATGATGACCAACGCTAGCGGAGGATTAGCCCTTTAACAGTTTTTGTTGGCAATTATAAGTAGAAGACTTTCCTGGACTGATGATGTGATGTAATATCAGTCCATTAAAAGAACCACTTAGGATGTAGGAAGACCCTAATTAATCAGTAAAATAAGTAACTGCCATAGTTTTTGAAGATGGTTAAATATTTTGCAGCATGACAGAGTTAAAACCACGATTGAACAAGCCTAAACTAACTACCTATGGCAAAGAAAATTTGGAAAAACCCAAGTTACTCTTCATCTCAGAAACGCAAGGGAAGCTGTTGACAGAAGCTAGTAAGTAAATAGTTGTCTGTTGGTCTTTAACGCTCGAATACTAAAATGCTACTCAATTTATAGTTGTACTTAAATATCGTGCCATCTCTGTCGTTTTACAAAGAATTTGTAGTGACAGAAGTATATTTTTTTAAAGGGGGGAAAATCATCGAATGACATCTCCCGCCTGGGCGAGGCGGGAGGGAGTGTCACTCTTACTAACTCGTTCCTCCTCCTGCACTTCGAGCCGGAGCCCCGGCAACCCGTTAGGTTCTCCGCGGCTCCGTATCGGCGTCAACCCTAATGGGCCCCATCCGTGGTGGCCTGACGGCTCTTTGAGGCGCGCGCGGAACGCGACGCGCCGTACGCTCGGCAGCTCTAGTCAAGTCAAATTTAAGTAAATTTTGACACTTGTCAGTGTCATCCCCTTACATGTTGATTGGCTAAAGGCACGGCGTTTGGCTAAAGGCTCGGGTCTGGTCCCGGTCGGGCGGCGAGCCACCCATGCTCGCCGTCCGTAGGCCCAAACAGAACTATACTTAAGCGCCACTTAATGAGTGGTCAGTGGCGTTTGTGTATTTCCACACAAGTTAGGTAAATAAAAGTACAAAGGAAATAAGTTACATAAACAATTTATTTACAAATACTAATTACATACAATTTTAAGTAATAATCAATATTTTTATATTGCTTACTACCTGCATTAAGGTACATTTTAAATATTACGGCGTTCTATGTATCGGAGGGGTAGACAAAATTACTTATACTATAATTGTTTAATTTTGAATTTGAAATCTGGCCTTCTTGGTCGATTGGCTGTATGCACGACTATTGGGCAATGAGTTTTAGTATATTCTTAGGTCGAACAAAGTATGATTAAGGACCGATTTTTCAATTATCAGTTAATTCTTAACTGTAGAATAAAATTGACATTTGAAAGGTGGTAGTATGGAAGAACTGTCAAGAATTCAAAGTTATTCCTCTTAACTGAGTATTGAAAAGTAGCATTTTTGGTTCATAGTTAGCATTAATAAGTAATAGCATTAATCGAGGGGAGAAAACCAGTCAATAACTTCATTCGCCTTGAACGGTGCGTGAGGGAGCGTCAGACACTAACTGACTAAAAACAACACCATTCCTGCTACGAACCAGAGTCCCCGTAAACGGCTAGGTTATCCGCAGCTCCGGAATTTAGTAGTGAAATAGAATTCGTGTTCAGAGCCCGGTGTATGATAAAAAGCTCTTTACATGTGAAGTATAACTGGTGAAATATGGGTTTAACATGAAAATGTGCACCTCAGCCTACAGCAAATAAAAGGTGTTGTGGCGACACATGTCAAATGACAGCTCGCACATGGACCTTCGATGAAAAAATCATCAACGGATGACTTTATAAAATCGTACATTACACATGTGAAATTTACATGCGAATGAACATGGATACTCCTTTTCCGATCTTAGGGATTTACTATCTGTTCTCTAAAGTGTTATGATACTCTTTAATATACTTACTTACTTTTCTATGTCCTGAAGGCGGAAGTGCGCCTAATACATTTAAGTGACAACTTTCGCTAGTTATGAATCCCATGTAATAGGAGCAAGTCGTTGTTAGTGTTTTATAAAGATCATATACATTGACTCCTCATTGTTATTATTAAAATTTTCAGTAATAATAATAATCATCATCTTCATATCAGGCTTAAAGCGTCCACTGCCTCACGTAGGTCAATGACTTTCTGATAGGCTGGTTAAAAGCGACCAGGGGGCTTACTCTTGAATCCAATTGCGAACAATCGACATTGATATTATGAAATTTCGAACTCTTGAGCCAACACTAGCGCCCATTACATCCGTATTGCTTGCATATAGAATGAACTAAATGGTATTGGATTTACTCTAAATGCTATTTGCTACGAATGAGGTTGTATAGTGTTGACATTGAATAATTATTGAGATTTTATTGGACTGAAGTTAAATTGACATTGATTAGTTTCAAGAGTAAGCGCCTTGCATCCAGCGCGGTAGCTATACTAAACTAAAATGCACTGTTTAATATAATACTATAAGAACTATTTTGCTCTACCCAGGATCAACCTTAGAACTCATGCTTGCAACCATTCGACCAATAAAGTGATAGAATGATGATTAAACAAAGCTATTTTAGTTTCATGACTATTTTATAAATAATAATAATAATATCATAAGTTTTATAATACGTATAAACAACTACATATTTGTATTCCAAGCATAAATAGTTTTTATTTTTTATTTACTTTTCATTTATCCACAGAATCAGTCAGTTCACTGTCAAACTTCATATAAAAAGTGCAAACCATATTCTTTTAATTACACCAAACGCTACATTCCGACGCAGTCTTTATTTCTTCTTTAATTCACTTGGTATAAGATTCAAAGTCGTTAGCACTAAACTTTAGACATTATCCAACTATCCAACAAACTATTTCCAATGGAAAACGCACCTCAACTTCTTTATTTACAGTCCAATTTTGTTTGAATCATATCAAAATTCTCTCTCACATTTATATCATTGCAAAACGCACTCAAACTCCTATAAACAGAGTCGACAATTAGTTTTAATTGTGGATTTACTCCACAATATAGTAATATCATTGAATATATTGTTCTGGTACATCCCCTTCAAACTCTTCTTGAATGACTTCCATTTGGACCATATCCGAATCATCTATGACTTCGGACTGCTCATATTGGCTATGTCTATTTCTGATATGCATGCGCAAATTCGTCTGATGGGCAAACGCCTTATTGCAGACCATGCAAATATGGTCTTTTTCCCTCGTATGTAACACTGAATGAGAGTTCAAATTACTGCGTTTCGAAAACTTCTTTCCGCAAACGGAACAGACGAATCTTTTCTCGCCATTATGTTTCACCATGTGTAATTTCACATCGTATGGACCAAAGAATTTGTCGCCACACACTTCGCATTCAACATTTTTCTCTCTCAAATGCACTCTCCGCATATGACGGGACATTATGGACTCTTGCGGATAAACTTTGGGGCAATACGGGCACTTAATTTTGAGTTCTTCAACTCCATGAACGTTAGCCAAATGCAGTTTCTTTAAATATGGACTTTTGAATGTCTCTGGGCAATGAGGACAAGTGGATAAGTTGACTAGATGCACGTTCTTCTCATGCAAAATCTTCTTCGAAAGCGTTGCTAGACTGATTCCGCAATATTCACAAGTATACCCCCCTTCTCGATGATAATATCTATAGTGCATTTTCAAGTGATTCTCTCCTTGAAAACTCGTTCCACATACATCACAAATATAATGATGAGAGAGGTGATTTTTATTCGCATGTCGAAGCAGATACTCAAAAAAGACGAACTTCATATTACAAGTCGGACATGTGGGTTGGTCTTTGTCCAATTTGAACGGCAAAAGACAATTTGGGACGCTAACATCGTACTCAGCATCATGAGCAATGATCAAATGGTGAATAAGTTCTTCTAAACTCGTCACAGCTTGAGGACATAGCTTGCAAGAGATTCCAGTCACGTCAATTTTGACTGCAGCATCTTTATTCCTATTATTTTTGGTTCGGTCAAAGACTACGAGTTCTAAATTCGCGAATTGATGTACTTCGGCAGTGTGTTGTCGTAGTATTTCTGGATCTTTCGTGGTTTCGTTGCAGTAAAAGCATTTGTATTTACCCTTATGCCACATAAAGGGAGTGACGTTACTGTACTGTAATACGTATTCTACATTACGTCTTTTTATTAATAGTTTACGGGCGGCTTCCATTTTCTTATATTTGTCCTCCACTGTATTGAATTTTGTACCTGGAAACAAATTCAGCCGTTACTTTGCTGGCTTTCTTACATTTTGCTGTGGATATGTTCGGGTTTCTGGTAATTTGCGGTTAGAAGGGTCCTTTGAGTGTGTATTGTTGCCACAATTTTTATTATATCGGCCTTTTCAAACGTTCAATGTTAGTTCATTTTTAAATTGAGTATGAAAATATAATCGCATAAGTTATGTCTAGAAACCATAGGACGCATTCATTGTTTACATAAGGCGTTTATTATTTTGGCTACATGACATATTTTTTTTAATAAACTTCCAAAACTAATCTAAATGCGTTTTTAGCAGATTTCTTGTCGTAACTTTTTACAGGATGGGCAACGTGTCAGCAACAGCTTTAGTATAACAGACGTAATCATATACTCTGTTTTCTTTCATTTCATTCTTCGCACAATCTATCTTTCTTTCAGTTGTTCTCTTACATTCATTCAATTTAAGTAAGAAAAGGATAGATAACAGTGTAGCAAAACAATTTATGAACTATGAATGAAGTAAGTAGGGTGTGCTTTGTCTATGGTCCACAGATAATAGTCGATAATATGTATTCTATCATTTCAATAGAATAGCAAAATAATTATGTCTGTGGACCATGGACAAAACTTCATTTTATGAATAAAGGTTTTTCTTTCTTACTTTCTTTCTGATAATCTTTCTGATGAACGAAAACACAAAGATAATTCTTAAAGAGTATAATTTCGAAATAAAACGTCGCATATTTTTACATAGTTTACGCACGTGAATATCACATATCCGAAAGTCTTATAATATTAGAGTTAAAATGGATATTTTGGTGGCAATTCTCTTTTATAACAACTAAACTTTAATGTTCCTCGAGCTATTGCGCTCGGGTCACGGCATTTAAGCTGAGCTCTGATCTTTTGGCGCCGTTTTCACTGTTTTTTTTTTCTATTTTTTTCGTGTTATTGTATTTTCTGACGGTAAGAAATACTATTTTTCTTTCTATCTTATCTATTATTTGTAGACTATCCCATATTTTTTTAGGACTAACAGCCAGCCTTTCTTTCTTTATTGAAACAAAGAGTTTCATTTTTCTTGTAGGTATAGAAGCACTATTTCTATGGATTGTCAGTATGCATATGTGAGCACCATGTTAGACTTAAGATCTTTATTATTTTTATTTTAGTAAGTTATTAGTATAATGCGTCAAGCGTGTCTTTGCATTGTTCTTACATATGCGTACAGTATTGAAATATGTATCAGAGACATTGTAGAACATACTTTTTTAAAAGAGTAACGAATGGAGTTTCTTGCTCGTTCTTCTCCATTCGAATCTACGTTTTGGAATGAGCACCTAGCTTCACCTAGCTTCACTGACGGACTGACTGACAGACTATTATTTATTTTGTATTTGTTGACGTTTCAAAAGTACCAAACTATGGTTTAATTGAAATAAATGCTTTGACTTTGACTTTGACTTTGACAGGAGGTGTTTGATAGCCGGCTCCTATATACCAACCAATAAGCGCGCGAACGCGTACTCGTTTCGATTACTTTAAAACGAAAAACAAAATATTACTGGGTTTAAAAAATTAATTATGGAATTATGCCCGGTATATGGCAAAAGACTCATCCCCTACTACATGGGACCCATAATATAAATATAAATAGTAATAAGTGGGTGTTACTTTGTACAGTAGCATTAAGTGCCGTAGTGGGCACCTCTGCCTACGCCTTCGGGGATAAAAGACGTGAGGTTATATTATGTAATATTAATATATTTAGTATTAGAGTATTTAGTCATTTTTCAGTTGATATAAAAAAGAATATCCACCATTAGGTACTATTTATATTACATAATCGCATTACATTTAACGAAATTTCATATTAAAAAATGAGCATGATTTTTTCAAAATATTCACATATACAAAATGAAATGTCCTAATAATTTCATTCTAATACACATTACATACATTATGACTTAGATTTAAAATAATGATATTATATTTTGTACAAGTCGGTTTATGATAAATTTGTAAGGGTCTCAACACATTTATACTTTTTTATTATTAAAATTGTATTTCGGGAGTAACTTAATCTTTAATTACTACTATTAATCTGATAAGAGCTTATTTAAAAATACGTAAAAGGAGTATTTGATCAATTTTCGACTTTAATGTGATAAGTAAAAGATTTGATTTAATCTCTTGATACCTATTGTCTACAGCAGGGCTGTCCAAACTAAGGTCTTTTTTCATGTGACCCGCGAAATTCATTTTAATCTCAACATCTCCATCGTATGTGCATCAACAATAGTAAAATTCAGTGTATGATGATTTGTAAGCAAGTTTAGAATGTGAGTAAATAAAACAACGTTTTTTTTATGGAATAGGAGGCAAACGAGCAGACGGATCACCTGATGGTAAGCGATCAGCGCCGCCCATGGACACCCGCAACACCAGAGGAGTCACAGGTGCGTTGCCGGCCTTTTAAAAAGGAATACGCTCGTTTTCTGAAGGTTTGAAGGTCGTATCGGTTCGGAAATACCTCCGACGACAGATCATTCCACAGTTTTACTGTGCGAGGCAGGAAGCTACGTGAGAAGCTATGTTAAACGTCATTATACAACTGAAAATATTTTTCTGGCCCTCCAGGTTTAGTAAGAAATTTAACTAGCCCGCGAGGGTATATAGTTTGGACAGCCCTGGCCTACAGTACCTAATTAACATGATTTATTTGAATATATAGCTGCAATTCTATTTTATACAACAATATGGTAAGATGTAACAATATAATTACAGCTTATGCTTTTGTGAGCTCCAGTTGGCTTCGAAACTAGTCGGGCATCCCCGTAAAATGTAAGATGAGAATCAGCTATACGTAAGTATAGAATTTTATAGTAGTTATACAAAACCGATATAATATAAGTAATCTTAGTTCTATTGTCCGATTATTTAATCGAAACCTGGCGTATACGTAATTTTGGCTTTATTTATTCATTTCAAACTTGAATAGGGTACAAATGGAACGTATGTAGGATTTGTTTATTACTTAAGAGCAGCCTCTACAAGTCTATTTAGTAAAATTTCATCGAGATCACGTAAATGCTGACAATTTGAAAGACAGTAAAATTACTAGTATGTGCAGTAAAATTAATTACAATATTGTATAGGATACAAGACATTTCAGACATTAATGAGACATTGAATACGTATTCAATAAATTAACTAAAAATCGCGGTTTACTAACATGAATATACTGAGAGAATTTCTTTTAGTTTCGAGCCACATAGGGGCTCTTCCTCATAAGCAGCGTGCTCGGACACGGCAATGACAATAGGTTGAGTGACGTCGCTGCGACCGTGATTTATAGTTAATTTAGTATGTCCCACAATAGTTAGTATAAAAACGTATTCAATAATAAAGTTTAAAATAAGAATGCTCTATTGATTTCTTTTGGTAGACAAACAAACTTTGCAATTATTAAACATCTGTATTGATATATATCAACATGAAGCGCTATTTCCCTTGATATCTGAACTTTTTTACTTTTTACCAAAAATCACGAATCGGAACGGGAATAAACGGGATTGCGCATACGAAGTCGCGGGCAGAAGCTAGGTATAATTAAATATGAGTACTAAACACTATATCTGCAACGGTATATGACCATACTTCTTGTGCATCTCCATATGGGAGCTCAAATTACTTTTCCTTAAAAAGGCTTTACCGCAAACTGTACAACTAAACTTTCTTTCGCCTTCATGTTTGACCATATGCATCCTCAACAGATAATTATCAAAGAACTTCTCATTACATATGGAACATGGAATATTTTTTTCTTTCAAATGCGTCCGTCTTACGTGATCCTTCATAAAAGAATTCCTAGTAAACATCTTCCCACAATAACTGCATTTATGACCCACATTATGGACTTTGATCAAATGTTTTTGTTTGTGGTACTCAGATTGAAACTGTTCCGGACATTTTGGACATTTGTAGTCCTTCGCGTCGTGAGTCTTAGCCCTATGGCGACTCAAACACCATTGGTTTTTGTATTTAATCCCGCAAATATCACATTCGCACGATCCTGTGTGCGCATACGTTATATGGACCTTCAAGTTCGCGGCGTTTCGAAAACTTCGGCCGCAGAAATCGCATATCCGATTATTATTGCTATGTTCTGAGTTCATATGTCTTAGTAGGATGCCGAAGTATCGGAATACTGTATCTGGACATATTGGACAAGGCATATTGTCCTTTATGACCCTGAAGGGTTCTAAACACCCTTTTATAGTAGTGTCGTAATTCGCTTTATGTTCTGCTATTAAATGGGTTATCAGATCATCCAAATTGGGTATTGATACACAACACAGCTTGCAAGCTAAAGCCGATATGTCAACCTTGACCGTAGTCCGTTCACCTTTGAAATTTTTCATACTTTTAGACTTTAAATCGCAAACGGGATGTTCTAAATTCGTATGAGTCTTCAAATCGTCAAATTCGACGAACTTTTTCGAACAATAGAAGCAGAAATATTTTGCGAAGAATTTGAAAGGCACCGCTGTCGACATGTTTAGGACACACTGTATGTTCTGTCTGATTTGTAGAACATTTTGCTTCTTAGTTGGTTCTGCTTGCTGTGTTTCGTTTAAGGACACTTGTGGCTCAACTTTGGACAATATTTTGACCTTGCACTTGCTCAAATGTTGTTTCAATCCTAGAGTAGTGTGAAATTCTTTGGAGCAATACGAGCATTTTAGGTTATTTTGGGAATGATCGACCTGTATATGTTTTTGTAAGAGAGAAAGGGACCCAAAAGAGGATCCGCAGCTCTTGCATTGTCTAAAATGGGTGTTGTTCTTATGTTTTCTCAATTGGATGCAATTTTCAAAGTTTTTCAGACATAAATCGCATGGGTAACCTCCTTGCCGATGATAATTTCTAAGATGAAAATCTAAATCCCTCTTTTTGTTGAAGGTGGCTCTACAATGATCACAGATAAAGCAATTTTGTGGATGAACTGTATTCACGTGTTTAACCAAGTATCCGAAGTAAGAGAATTGTTCTTCACAATGTAAGCACCGAAAATCGACTAATCGATACTCTTGGAACGGTATATCGATCTTTTTGTTGTATTCAAAGTCATGTTTAACGATCAAATGATCGATTACTTCATCAAGTCGATTGAAGGGTTCATTGCATATTTCGCAACCAATTTCTGAGACGTCAATCTTAATTTCCACATGGTTCCCTTTGATAATTTTGAGGGAATAATCTTTTGTGGTACAAAGGCCGTGAGATTTTGTATGTTTTCGGAATTCTGGGTATTCGGTATAGTTTTGACCGCAATAAAAGCAAAGATATTTGCCTCTCCATTTGAATGGCATAATAGTTGTGTGGTTGAAGAGTATTTTCAAGTTTTGACGTCGACGCTCAGAGGTACAGCCTTCGTACCGTCCTGGGAGGCAATCTGAAAAGAAATGTTTCTTCTCTATAAATCTGCTGTTAATTTCAATCTCCCATTTCGGACACTTGGTTAGTTCGCGTCGACAAGCACATGCCATTTGTTATTTTACGTCGTACGTGTAAACATCTGTATCATTCATCTTCTCGATATAATTATTGTCATTTAAAGGTATCGAAGGGAAGAAACGTATAGGAAAAATAACAGAAAGACTTTTAAATAAGTTAAAATCGTAACAATTAATAAACTGTCCAAACATAACGAGAAAAATATAACAAAAAATCATCAGGAAATGCTAGGTGATGTTGCGAGCGTTCACTGTGCGAATGTGGGAGGTCATGTGTCCACGAAGGTTTCGTTTCCATAGGAACTTTTTGCCGCAAATATCACAATGGAAGTTCCTCTCTCCGACATGTTTGACCATGTGCATTTTAAGTCTGGCACCGTCGAAGAACTTCTCGTAGCACACCGAACATTCCACATTCTTCTCCTTCAAATGCGATCTCCTTACATGGTTGACCATAAAAGAGTTTTTAGTGAAGAGTTTATCACAGTAAGTGCACTTATGTCCTGTGCTATGAGAGTTAATCAAATGCCGTTGCATAGCGTATTGAGATATAAATTTCTCTGAGCATTTAATGCATTTAATATCTTTTGTACCATGTACAGTCGCTTGATGTTTCTTTAACGCAGGTTTACTGTTAAAAACGAGTTCACAGCTATCACAGTCGAATTTCTCTGACATATTATGACGTCGAGCAATATGCCCACGCAGATTGGGGTCAGTACGGAAGGATTTGCCGCAGTACATGCAGATGTGTTTGTTATTATTATGGTTAGCGCTTACATGTTTGAGTAAAACGCCGAAATATCGGAAACTTTCGTTGCAAATCGGGCAGGAATAGTCGTCTTTGATCAGTTTGAAGGGCTGCATGTTGTATTCTACAGAAGCGTGGCAGTTCGCCTTATGTTCTCTGCTTAAATGCGTGATCAAATCAGGCAAATCTGTTAACGGAACGAGACAGAGCTTACAAGTCAGCTTAGATATATCAATTTTGATCAAAACGCCATCATATTTATTCTTTAATTTCATAGCTTTGAAGTTAATATCGCAAACTGGGTGCTCCATTATCGTGTGGTGTTTCAAATCATCGCTCAACGTAAAGTCTTTCGGACAATAGAAGCAACGGAACCTATTCATATAGTACTTGAACGGTAGAGCCGTAGTCATGTTAAAGATGCAAGCTAAACTGATTCTTATTTCTTTGACGGTGATCTTATTGTCCTCATCTTCGAGCACTATTGATTCTTCGCTGGGATTCAGCTTGCATTTAGAGGCATGTCTTAAGAACGCCTGTTTGGTAGTTAGGACCTTATCGCAAAATCCGCATTTGTTCTGATCCATATCATGTTCCGATTTGAGGTGTGTCAACCTTTTGCTTTCAGACGCAAATGATTTGAAGCAAATATTACAAGTGCACGAATGGGAATTGGACAAATGGTTCTTTAAAGCCGAACTTGAAGGGAATTTATCATCGCATTTATGGCAGTCGTAAGATTCTTTGTGGTAAGATCGCATATGGGATCCTAGATCCCTCTTTTTATTGAATTTTTGATCACATCGCGGGCAAGGGAAGCAATTATCCGGATGCTGGTTGTTCATATGAATGATTAATTTACGGAAGTAATTGAAGCTCTTGTCGCATACAAGGCATTGGAGATCGACTAATCTATATGCGGATATGAATATCTCTACATCTTTATTATACGGCAAATCGTGTTTTTTGATCAAATGGTTGATGATTTCGTCCAGAACAGGAAAACTTTCGTTGCAAATCGCACAAGTAATGTCGGACACATCGATTTTGATTTCTATATCTGACGATTTGACTAGACGGATAGCTCTATCCTTATCGTTACAAGGTCCGTGATCTTTCGTGTGTTTCCGTAAGATGTCGTGCGAGTACATATCGTCGCCACAGTAAAAGCATAGATATTTGCCCCGCCATTTAAACGGTACCAACGTGGTATGGTTGAGTAATATTACCAGATTTCTTCTCCTTAGAAAATTATCACTGTGCTTTTTCTCCTTATGTTTTGAATCTGAAAAGAAATTATTATTCTTTGTATTTTTTCATATTATTTATATCAGCTGACGAAATGCGTGAAAATGAGGTCTTTCTTTTTTGTACCCTGAATGAATTTATTATGAGATATTACGGTCCGCCTGATGGAAAGCAGTTACAGTGTCGATAGAGCGACGCCGATTAGATATATTTCAAATGAATAAATATTTGGTAATGAGACGCATGCCCAGAACATGAAAGGTTTCATTTCGTATGATTCATCAAAGATATCGAAAACCATCAAAGTCTATTTATAATGCGTAAATAGACTCAACTCAATGATCAAAATCCATTCTAATTGTGTATCTTATAAAGTGGTTCAAAATATGTGTATTATTTTAATTGCTTACTACTAAAGTAGACCTTAATTAACATATTTTAATAAATAAATAAGCGTATGGCACTTAAAATAAAATCTTTATACAAAGATTTTGTCAGTCAAAAATAACTTCGAGACTGCTTAGCCATCTAAGCCTTAAAAAAAAAATTCAGACCTTTACGAATTCGAAAATCTTATTGCATTTGAGTAGGGTTCAAGTGCTTAGTATGCCTAGCCATGTGTGTCCTAAGACTTTTCCTCCAGAAAAATCTCTCACCGCAAACATCGCAATGAAAGTTCTTCTCCCCGCTATGTTTTACCATATGCCGTCTTAAAAGAATATTATTGAAGAACTTCATATTGCAAATAGAACATTCCACGTTTTTCTCCTTCAAATGTGTCCTCCGCACATGATCCCTCATGAAAGAGTTACGAGTGAAAAGCTTTCCGCAGTAGGAGCACTTATGTCCCGAATTATGAACTTCTATTAAATGTTTCTGTCTTAAATATTGAGTAGTAAAAGTTTCTGAGCATTTTGGACACTTGGCCGCCTTCACGCCGTGAGCACGAGCCATATGCATGTATAACCTCGAAGGTATATTACACTCAGCACCACAAATGTTACACTTGAATCTCCCATCCCTATGGTGCCTCCAAATATGGACGCGTAAATTTTGATCCCTACGAAAAGTTTGACCGCAATAAACGCAAATGATATTATTGTTTGTATGCTTGTTATTCATGTGTTTTAGAAGTGTTCCGAAGAATCGGAATACTTCGGTAGGACAGTTTGGACACGCCATGTGATCTTTAATCAGTCTGTAAGGTTGTAAGCACGTTGTAATCGATTTATCGTAGTTCGCTTCGTGTTTTCCTATCAAATGATCGATTAGGTGATCTAAATCGGTCATGGACTCAAAGCAAACCTTGCAAGCGAGTGATGAAATGTCTATTTTGACACACGCGACCGATTCACGACATTTTCGGATGCATTTTTGTTTTACATCGCAGACAGGGTGTTCCAAAACTGTGTGTTCCCTCATCAAATCTGAATCGGGAAAATCTTTAGAACAGTAGAAACAATTGAACTTATTCTTATAGAAATTGAAAGGTATAGCTGTTGACATATTGAGCACTATCACTATATTTTCTCTAATTTGTTTAACGCTAGGTCTTTTGACCTGATCTTCGTAGTTCTGGTCGAGATCCATAGCACCGTATTCTTCTTTCTTGATAGCGATCTCAAAGATATCTTCTCCTTTGCATTTCCTGTTGTGCATTCTCAATCCTTGCTTTGTATGGAACTCTTTAAGACAGTTATCGCATTGTAAGGACCCGTCGTCTGGGTGTTCCAACTCAATATGTTTTTGCTTTAACGCAGCAGATGGTAGTTTTAAATGGCAGATATTACATCTAGTCAAATGTCTATTATTTCTGTGTTTCCGAAGAATGTTTAAAGAACTAAAGGTTTGAGGACAGAGTTCGCACTGGTATCCTCCTTCCCGATGGTAGTTTTTCATATGGGAAAACAGATCCCTCTTTTTATTGAATTTCTGGTTGCACTTATCACAGATGAGGCAGTTCTTCGGATGATTGGTATTAACATGAGACACTAAATAGCCGAAGTATGTGAATTTTTCTTCGCAACCAATGCAACTGAGATCAACTAGCTTATATTCTTCAATGGCCATTTCGACGTTTTTGTCGTATTCTAATTTATGTTTAACAAACAAATGAGTTACGACTTCATCGAACGATGGGAACGGTTCGGAGCAAACTTCGCAGGATATATTTGAGATATCTACTTTAATCTCCATATTCTGTCCACCTTTTAGGACTTTCAAAGAATGGTCTTTTATAGAGCAGTCACCATGTTCTTTCGTATGCTTTCTTAGTTCTGTGTATTCTGCAATATCTTTGCTACAATAGAAGCAGAGATACTTTCCTCTCCACTTAAAAGGTATGATAGACGTGTTGTTAAAAATAATCTGAAGGTTCCGTCGTCTTCTCATGGACGAGGATTCGGTGCCAAATTTCTTCGTTTTAAGATCTGAAAAGAAATTTTTCTACTATAAATGTACCCTTGATATGAATACAATCAGGTTCATACAGAATATTTGTTATTGAAAAAATAGTTAAGAAATGTAAATTTTGAGTAGGGTACATTTAAAGTGTGGGTAATGGTTACATCTTAATGTAAACTTGGTGTAGACGTTGACACTTTTTTTATTGTATCACATTATTATATGGTACTAGCTGACCCGGCAAACTTCGTACCGCCTAATCATTTTTTATCACCTTTTAAACCTTCCCTGGACTTCCACGAACATTTCAAGACCAAAATTAGCCAAATCGGTTCTGCCGTTCTCGAGTTTTAGCGAGACTAACGAACGGAAATACATTTTTATTTATATAGATAGATTATAGAAACGATTTTTTAGCTCATAATTGCCCGAATCCACAATATTTGTTTATAGAAAAGTAGTCTCTAAACATCTTAAATAAGGTCTATAATGGCGTAAGTGTATAGCGGTCACAGTTAAAATGGTAACGACGTATAGAGACATTTACACATCAGAAGCGTTACACTTGCTTTTTGGGGATTAGTAATTCGAGAATCGTTGGAGATTCAACGATTTGGGCTCTGATAGCCTCACTCACACGACAAAAA